GTGATAGGTATGGTTGCGGCGTGGGGGTGGGGTAATCGTAGGTTGCCTCACCGTTGCGGCTTACCCCCTCCCCTTCCCCATTCGCTGCTAAAAAGTTCTCTTTATTGCAAGGATATTTTTGTCATCGTAGTTTGTGAGTGTGTAAGCTTGCGCGTTTCAGGTGGAGCGGCAGAAGTTCCTTCGATCAGTGCAGCAATGTCGGATACCGCCGCATCCTCGTCCTCGTCGCCGGCCAGTTGCGGCGGTGGCACTGGGCATCTTGTGGAGTCGCTAATGTCACAGGTGGCCGATGAAAATATCGCTACAATCATACGACTGCAAAAGAAATCGTAGTGCTTTTTGCTGCTGTTTTTATTGTTGTTGTTTTTTTTTGCATAATTTTGGTGTGGCCTGGCCTCCTCAGCGAACATTTACGTCGCTTTGCGTTGCTGTTGCAGCACTGGCTCAATTATGCTGCACAGTAGGGATTCTGGCGAAGCTCGGCTTTGAGTTGCGCAGGGCTGAGGGATGCCAAGGAGCATGGTGTGATAATTCGGGATGCCGGATGGCCCCGTAGCTGGGGGGGAGTGAAATTCATCAGATTAGTCCACAATTATCATGCAATCTGTTACTCAGGCAATCAGTATGCGCGTCATTTTGGCGGGTGCTTTCAATCTCTGGGTTCACTGCAATACAGCAGCGGCTGCGTAAGCAGTCCGGGACCACACATCCGTAAGCAGTATGCTGCAACCGCAGTGGCAGCATTGTAAGATGGCAGACGAGCGAACTCTGCTCTGTTTGGCGTTTTTCACTGTACACATTTAGGAGACAGTTAGAAATTACGCGAAGAAAAACTGGATTGCAACTTTGCTGGCTTTGAAATGATGAATTGCGGCCGTTAGAAGCCCGGATCGTAATGTTAAAAGAAGTGGACGATCAAAATGTGGAACGACCGGAGTCGAAAAATTAAAAACGAAGGGTGGGATAAGATTGTCAAAATAGCGTCGTTTATGCTACACAGCGTTATTTTGAGATGATCGCATCTTTGGAAGAACCCACTGATAGCCTGTTCTTCGGAAAAATGCAGTCATTCAAGACAAATGCCTT